ACCTGAATTTTTGAATTTTACTTCAAATATTTTAATTATTTTAATAAAATTAAAATGACCAAAATTAATTTTGATTCCAATATGATTATTGACCAATCTCTAAAATTATCGATATAAGTCATCAAATTATTCAAAATTTTTTAATGTAAATTTATTTTATTTTTTATTTTGGTTTTTTGTGCCATATGAAATTTTTTAAGACAAAATTTCAGTTTTAGTCAAATTTATAGATAGGAATATTAAAAAAAGGACTAAAAATAACCCAAATTTAAAAGAAGAAGCTTTTAATGACAAAAAGTGAAAAATAATGATATATTTCAGTTATTTTAATTAATTAAACAAACTATCCTAATAATTTTAGATAATTAAAATCATAATTAAATTAAAATTTTAGTTTGAATTAAATATAAAATTTTTATCCAAAATTATTACAAAATAACCAAAAATTCAATTCAATTCATTATGATTTTTTGGCACCTATAGAGTGTTTACTTAAGATTTAGCATTGCAAACTAATCTGGTGCATGTTAGGGCCTTCCAAAGTGAGCTTTTTGGGGTGGAGATTGTGTCTTGATAGATTGTCAAAAAAATGGAATTTGCAAAAAAGAGGGGTGCTGTTGTAAGGGGATGGTTTGATGTGTGGTTTGTGTAAGGAGAAGGTGGAGGATGTCAACCATTTGTTTTGTACTCATAAAGAAGCATGGTTAGTGTGGGTGCAGGTGTTTAATTGGTGGGGTCTGGTGGTGGTATTGCCGAAAACAGTGTAGGGAGTGGCAGAATTATTTATGGGCGATCTAGGCAGGGTAATTGGCAAGGAAGTGAGTGCATGTACTTTTCTAGTTGTTGGTTGGTATTTATGGCTTTAGAGGAATGATAGGGTGTTTGGGAGTGATGGGGATTTTAGGGACCAACTGCCAGAAAGGATTCAAGCTAAGTCTTTCTTTTACCTAAAACATAAAGTAGATGGTTGTGTGTTTTCATTTTCTCAATGGCAGCTCAATCCAATAAAATACGCAAGCGGCATAAGAGATGTTTAAAATTGTTTCATAAGCAGATGCGATGTTAGGTCTGCAGGGCTTCAATGGTAGTTGTATTGAGTAGCTCATGTGTGTTTCTATTCATGGGTGTATGACTTTTAAAGTTCATTTCTTTATGCGGGTTTCTATTGCATCAGTACAAGGGTTGAGGGTATTTATATGTGTACAATGGTTGAGTTGTGCATGTGCACAAGGGTTGGCATTGTGAGAGTAATTATTTTGTATGAGCGCATAAGCACCCCTTGTGCTCCAATTAATAAAATTATTTGTTTGCTAATAAAAAAAATTCAGTTCAATTCAAACAATCCAAACCAAAAGCCTAGCCTTACTAGTTTCCCCTGCCACAAAAACTATATGCTTCTATTAGACCTAGCAAATAGGTTGGATTGGGTGGGTTTAGATTGATTTGTCTTGGATCTCGAGTTTTTTTGGATTGGGTCATTTCGGATGTCAGTTTAAAGAGGTAAGTTTATGACCCATTCACGCGGGTCTCAAATTAGATCGGGTGAACCCAACTTTTAAAAATTAAAATTAAAATTAAAATTAAAAATTTTCTATATTTTTCTTTATTTTCCTCTAACAAAGTTCGATATTAATTAACTATTTAGTTAAAAAACTTTATTAAACGCTAATTTCATTTCATGATTCAATTTTCATTCCAATCTCAAGAAAAGAAAAGGGAGAGATTACTAATTATATAGGTGAAACTAAAATATATGTCAAATATATAATGCCTATACAATATTTAGAATTCATAATTTTATAAAGACACTAACCTTCATAAAAGAAGAAACACTAACCTTTATTAAAGGAAAAGACATGAAGAATTAGAGTTCAAAAGACCAATCCAATATATATGCTAATGTCTACTGTCTATTTAATATTTATAAGGGTATTATACAAAAAATACAGTTTTATTCAATATTTAGAGGGACATTATACAAAAAAGTATAGCCCTATTCAATATTAAATTCAAAAGGCAAATCCAAAAATGTCTAAACAAATACAAGAAGTAATTGGATCGGGGTTGATTTTTATTAACTAGGAAACAATTATTAATTAAGAACAAATTAGTAATTTAGAACAAACTAACAACTAAGAACAAACCTTGACGTTCTTGATGTTCTTGTCTTTGTGCTTTTAATGGTGATGGAGTTACCTCAACCATTGGATTTGATTTTTAATAGGCATTCTTGCTTTCTATTTTTTTTTTTAAAAAAAAAAAATTCGACAATGCCATATGACACAACTCATTATGTGCCATCTAATCTGATTTTTAATGCAAGTGCCACCAAAGAGAAGGATTAGAGAGCTTGAGATGAAGATGGGGAGAACGAGAGTGGAGAAGAGAAAAAGTTGAGAAAAAGTGAAATTGACAAAAGGTTAGGGTTTAAGTATTTTATTTATTTCTACTTTTAAAATTAGGAAATTAAAATTTTAAAATTAATTTTTAAGTATCTAATAAAAAAATAAAAAAAAGTTTCGATCATTTCGGATGACCCGACTCACCCATAATTCAACCCATTTGGGTTTGGATAATTTCAATCTGAATCATTTCAGATTTCAGATTAACACATAGGATTCATGACCCAACCCATAACGGATGGATTGGATCCGATTTTTGGATTGATCCAATTTTGCCGAGTCTAGCTCCTATAGTTCCTTCAATTATTGTGACAGAACAAAATTCACCCCACTCCCCCCGCCCCCCCACCACCACTTTAAGATCCTCACCCATTTCAATCCGAATCATTTCAAATTTTAAATTAACACATAAGACTCATGACCCAATCTATAACGGATGGATTGGATCGGATTTTTGGATTGATCC